TGCTACTGCTACTGCCACTACTACTACTACTACTACTACTACTACTATCACTATCACTATCACTATCACTATCACTAACACTATCACTATCACTATCACTATCACTATCACTATCACTATCACTATCACTACCACTATCACTATCACTATCACTATCACTATCACGATCACTGACACTATCACTATGACGATCACTAGCACCACCACCACCACCGCCACAACCGCTACCGCTACTGCTACCACTGTCGCTACCGCTACCGCTACCGCAACCGCTACCGCTGCCGCTCCACTACCACCACCACCACCACAACTTTTACCACCACCACCACCACCCCACCACCACCACCGCCACCACCACAACTGTTACTGCCACTACGACGACGACGACGACTACTCCTTCGCCTACGCCGACGGCTATGCTTCCTCCCACTCCTACTCTACTCCGACTCGTACTCTTATTCATACTCCAGTCGTGGATGTCCTACTCCCACTCCTGCTCTTAGTTCTTCTCCTGCTCCTGCCCCTGCAAATGCAACTGCTGCTACTGCTTCTGCTGCTACCGCTGCTGCTGCTACTGGCACCGCCACTGCTGGTCATCATGGCCACCAGTGCCACCAGCAGTGCACTCAAAATCATGATGATAATCGCCATCGCGCAGTTTCTCTTGATGTTCCTGTACTAGTTGCAGCACAGCCACTCCTACTACCACCCTTGCCACCACCACCATGCCGGTCACGTCCGAAAGGCCTGAACTGCATCACCGTGGAGCCGCCATTCACCACCACCTCGACTACCAGCACCACCACGACGGTGGCTTAGCTCCAAACGGGCTCGGATCCAGGGTTTCTTCTGGTGTTTTCGAACTTTGTCCAGGCTTCTGCGGGCTTGGTTTCGGGTTATCTTGGCCTGTACAGGTGATTTAGGAGCCTGAACTAATAAACAGAGTCCCTAAACTCTGAACCAGAATCTCAGAAAAAACAACACACACCCATCACCATGTCTGGTGACATGACGTGCGCCTGTAGCTGTCCCCATTCTCGTAAGCTTGCTCCCATCAGAACTGCCTCACTTGCACACAACTCCGAGACAGTCTCTACACTATGCACACCGCCAGAGCTCTAATATGAGCTGTCAACCTCAAGCGATATACCACGAAGCACGCAGCAATCGTACACAAACTGTCTCCACTGAAGTGGTGTTCCGACTAAGCGGGGAGGAAGACGGGCTTAAGCACACCAGTTGTTTCGGAATCCCCAAAACGTGAACCCTAGGAGCCCAAATATTCTGATCTCAGCAACATCAAACTTTGAGGTCATCATCGAAGCTTGCTTCAACGACCCCTTCAACTGTACGGACACGGGCCGCTACGCTAAATCTCGGGTTTTATGTGCTCTCGAAGATGGAAGAGTGGCAGGTTTTGCTTGTGTGGGAGTTGTGAGGGACTTCAGGGCTGTTAGGCTTCCCTCTCTGTGGGGTCTGCAGGTTTAAGCTTCATAGGTTTCGAGGACTCCAACACGCAGAAGTCACACGGCTAAGCTTCGGAACAGTTAGACAGGGCATCTCGTCAGAGTCCCCATTATATACATGCAGAAGACGACACCCCAACACCAGGTTCTCGTTACTACGGCAACTATATTAAGCACCTATGCGATCCTGAATCCCAAGATCAAAAGCGTTTCGTGCAGGAAGAAGCCAATCATTTGTTAAAAGAGGTCTTAAAACCCCGACAAGCCCCAAATCCGTGTTAAAGGAGAGGCCCGCAGCCCTTGTCAAAAGAGACACTCAAACTGATAAAAACTCAACTAAAAAAAGTGGTTTGACCCGAATCCTTGCAGCCACGAGCCCTAACCTGGGCAGGAAAAGGCGCCTTCAGCTGTTTTCACCATGAGCCCTAAATCCGTCCGCCTCAACCGGGGACCCAAAGCATCTGACCGCTTTCTGCAACAAGGAACCTGGGCCTGCACGACCAGACCCAGGACTTTCAAGTCAAGGCAAAACGATCTGAAAACTTTTCCAAAAACAAAGCATGATAAGCCGCTTTCAATAGATGAAACCGAAGAAACCAGGAACATGCTGCAAGAAGCACTATAATAAGCTCTCCGCCTCTCCTATACCGTTGCCTTCTTGTCTGAACAAGAAGCAGGGGCCGAAACCCCAAACTCGAGACTCTAAGCCCCCCACACCGAAGCCCGAGACTTTTGGAAGTGCCCCAGAGATGCCCCATCCGAAAATCTCTACTAAGCCTTATACTTTAGACCCATCCTAACGCTGTATCCCTTGCAGTACCTCTTTTAGTAATCCTTGTCGTAGCCCCTAGGTGTCTCGTATCGGTGGCCGCTGACCAGCGACCAGCAACCAACCGAGATTTTGAGGCTCAATGCGGCTCGCTGCATGTTTTTTGTTTTTGCTTTGAAGCGGTTGTATATGTGGTTTCAACGAGAGATAAACATAATTCTATAAAGTTGTGCTTCGGGGACCTATAGGGTTTTGTAGGGTGTTACAAGGGTTGTACAGGAGGTTATAGGTTTTCTAGCGCCGCTGTGGACAAGCAGACGTGTATCTGAGTGAGCAAGCAAGCAACATGAGTGCACGAATCGAGTCTTTGCCTGCTGACATATATATATATATATATACACAGTCTTGGACCAGCAGGTGACCCCGGTTCCCGAGCAGGTTTTGAACAACGCTGTAGCACCAGACCAGAAGCATAGGTCTAGAACGCGAAGCCAAAATCCTAAATCCAGAAGGGCTTTGAAACAGGCGTGATTTGTCTTCTCGAATGTTTTCAAGGGCTTCGTCGAAGGAAGAGATTTATGGATCGAATCTGAACCCAAGGTCGGTTTCAACAACTACTCGCACCTTGGCCTGCTCTGGCTTTGGGTGCTCGTGGGCTTTGGGGTTGAAAGCTTAGGGCACAGGCCTCAACAGTTTAGAGTCTTAAGGTTTAGGGGTTTGGAGTTCAGCGGTTTAGGGTTTAGGCGTCAAGAGTTTAGCGGTTTAGGGCTTAGGCATCAAGAGTTTGGCGGCAGAGGGTTTAGGCATCTAAAGTCTAGCAGTTTAGAGTCTAGGGGTCTAGAGTTTAGCGCTTCAGGCTTTAAGGGTTTAGGGGTTGTAGGGGTTATAGGGGCTTAAAGTATTGGGTGTGAGGGATACTTCACTTGGAGGTCTTCAGGGTCGGGGTATTCGTGTTGGCGGCGCCAATAAAGGGGCCAGAATAGTAAGAGCAGGGTTTTGGGGTATGTTGTAATATGAAAATAATCAGGATCCCTCCAGAATGAAGTATAAAGTTGGTAAGTATTCAGGCTTCTTTTTGGGGGAGGTGGAGGTAGCTGGGGGACGTATGTACACGGGTTACCGGCAGGGCTTGACGTGTCTCGGGCTTTGGCCCCCAGAAGCATCCAAGACACCTCAAGGCCTCGAAGCTGGCGCCCTAAATCGCAACGCTTCAAAACTCCCGAAACCTTAAACTCCAAACCCCACCCGAGACAAGTCTAAAGTTACGCAGTATTCCGGCTTCTATAGTACAGTATTGTGATTCTTCGTAAGAAGCCCTATTTCGGAGAACTGCCCACGTTCTGCGTCTCAGAAACCCTCCAAGAACAAGGACCTGAAGCCCTAAGCCCAAAACCCTAAGTTCGGGCGGTAATCGCCACATACATATTTTGAAGCCGAGCCCTTAAGATCTCGAAGCCCTTCGGAGCCCCAGCAGCGAGACCAGCCGGAAGCCGGAAGCAATTGCCAACCTGACCCTGGACCCGACCCTCAGCCCCTAAAGTCTAAGACACAAGCCCTACAACCCTTCAAAGTAGCTCCTAAATCCCAAAAAGAACCCCATAAAGGCTCGGGTTTAGGATTTAGTGTTTTGCAGGAGCCCTTAAAGGAACCCTTTGTATTAACCCTTGTAGGAAGCCCGTGTCCCGAGGATCGTTTGCAACTTCCCGGACAACGATGGCCTTGTACTGGAGGCCTGCGGCATCAACCCGGTCGCGCCTTGGAGAAAAGAGTAAGGATTGGGTTGTTTTGGGGTTTAGGGTTTAAGCTTTAGGTTTTAGGGTCGAGGGCTTTCGGTTTTCAGTTGGCTGAGGTTGGGGGTTGTTTTGGGATTGAGAGCCTCAAAGTCCTAGAGTCTACAACCCGGAAGCACTGAAACCAAAACAGGCCAAAGCGGTTAGTAACGGCCCTAAACCCGATCGGCTCTCTCGCTTAGGCTTTGGCCTTAGGCTTTCAGGCTTGAGAGCTGCTTTCTGGGGGTGAGGGGTACTTAAAGAAGGGTGCTTTGTCGAGTACTATCTTGAAGGTGCTTACCGGCAGTGGTGCCCAGAGCGCTAATCCCCCTCCCGTCAGTGTTTCGGGAACCGCGCGGTTAGGGCTCCAAGCTTCACAGAAAGCCCAAAACCCCAAGAACAACCTCAGGGTTTACCCTAACCGCCCTAACCCTCACCCAATACCCCAAACCCTATTACAGGTCAAGGTGGAGTTTTCTTGAGCCGGACCATGGCCCGCAAAGTCAAGGCTTCTTGAAGCCCCCAAACCCCTTGAGGGTTTAGTTTAGGGTGCCCGCAACCCTAAATCCTGCCCTACACCCTGGCAGGACAGCACCATCTACTGCACCGAGGCATCAGGGACATTCCGCGCCTCATCGCGAATCAGACGGGGTCTTCAGGGTTCTCTGAACTTTATATAAACCCTATCGGCCCGAAGCCCTAAACACCGCCTAAACGCTTGTCCATGATCTGCCCATGCTTCCAGGTTCCGAGACTCAGGGAGCCCGCTTAGGGTGGGCAGCTAGGGGGCATGAAGAATTTGTTCACTTAGGGTTCCCGCAACTACAATCGAACATCGGCCAGGGCCGTATTCTACTCATCCACCCCCTTACATTAGATATATCAAGCCTGCACGAGCTCCGGCTGAAACATGAATCTGCCAGCCCGTGTCCATGAGCACGGGCTTGTGAACTCGGGCTTCGGCCACTACGGCCACTGGGGTCTGTGGTGTTGCCCTTGTGCAACCGAGGAAATCTTGTGCGAGTCACATGTCCAACCGATGGAAGTGGCTTCGGCATCATTGAGAGAGTCATGACGCTGCCTCATACTTTGGGTGTTTGGGTTGGTACGAAGGTCGCGGTGGGTTTACGCGTCAGGCTTCACGCAAGGGTCCGAGACTTCCCTTCAACCAGCCACTCAGACTATTCCTCCCAGGAGATGTTCATCATCATCTTTGGACGCGTTTTATTTTGAGGTGTTTCTGCTGATCAACTTTTGTGGACAGCCGGATCCAGCTCGCGGCTTCGAATTTCGACATTGCAACATTGAGGGCTCCGCCACTCGTGCTACCTTGCAGAACCCATCCTCTTCACGCCACGGGCAATCGCAACGCTTTCGAAGCTTAGGAAGGGACAGCAGGTCATTGAAAAGTTTGCAGATTGTCTTCTCCATGCCCTCGCGATCGCAATGGCGATCAGTTTCACTTTTGCTCCTCAACAGAGATTTGTAGTCGTCATCATGATGCTCATGAAAGCAACTCTCTCTCTCTCTATATATATATGTATGTATGTAT